TTTGACTTGGAACATTTTATTCTTCCTTGTTCAAAGGCAATATTCGGTTTAGACTTTATTCAATTTTTAAAATGTGACAAATTGAAAATGTTTTTGAAAAGCTGAAATAATAGTTTTAAAATCTTCCTTCTTCCAGTCAACATTATTTTTTTACGCTAATGGTGAGCAGTACAAATTAAAACAATTGTTGCTTAGCTGACAGAAAGGGGGAAAAAACACATTCTGCTAGGACTCTGATTTTTAGGCAAAAATCTCATCATCATGGAGGAAGCATAACTTGTGAGATTGTACTATACTCACACATACATAGTAATCAGAGAGTACCTTACCTCTGAAATACACAATTATATGTATCTGATTTTGAAACTTTACTCCCTAGAGAAACAGCAAGGAGAATTTGGTATCTAGGACCATGGTTAATGCTTATTTTATTTGATTTGGTTTTTTACCACAAGTCAGTGAATACTCTTATTCTTCTTATCAGTGTGGTTTACTCTACTGTTACACAATACGACTTCTGGAAAAGTCTTGATATTCCAAAGATGTAATATTATGCAGGAAAAAGAGTTTGTCATTTTCTTACTAGAATAGAAACTGAATTAAAACAACTGTACACTGAAATTCCAGTAAAATTAGGAAAAACAACCATTTACTCACTTTATACTAAGAGGAGTAATAAATATACTCACAGTGTTTGGAGTGAACATTGAAACCAGCTTCCCATTAGGAGATGCACCAGGACTAGGTACTGCTGCCTGTTGCTCTCCATATGCTACAGAAGATGTTAAGAGACTGGACGGACGTTGCAGATTCTCTGAATAACTGGGAACATTTTTTTGTCTAATAAAAGCTATCTCCCAAAAACTTTCAAACCTAAAATTAAAATTAAAAAGTGTCAACATATCATATACTATACTGTTCATAAGATTAGACACTACTCTTGCAAAAAATACATTTTCCCAAACACCGTGTGTGATTTTATGTATTTAATTTTCTAAAAGGATGTGCTATTCCCTATCCTTAAAAAAGGCAAATAGTGTGGGTTTGGTTTTTTTTTTTTTCTTTTGAAAGGAATGAAAGTATCATAATTTGACAGGTCTAAAAAGTGCATTTGAGTCTTTTCTTTTTCTATTAAATAAAATCGCAATTAAATATTTCAAAAAAAAATTAAAACCCTTGCATTTCCTCTAAGTACCTATGACATTTCACAGTCTGATGATAAATATTGTATAATAAACCATTTGGGAGGGTCGGCTGTGCGACAATAACAGATACCTCATCTTTGTTCTGTTGATTATACTCTTTGCCTCTTCATAGGAGACACCAATCATTGACTCTTTGTTTATGGATACAAGCTGATCTCCAGGCTTCAATCGTCCATCCTAACAAACAAATAAAAAACCTGAACCCACCAATTTTATATTAATTGCTAGCACTATAGAAAGAACTGTATAATCACAGCACTTCAACATATTCCTCTGGATCTGTTAAGACAGGAATACCAAGAACGGCTACACATTTTGGCATTCATACACAATCTTCCAGAAATAAACAGCAGGTAAAACAATCATTTAATCACCATGACAGCAGTCATTATAAAAGCTGCTTCAGACAGAACGGATCTCAGATACTGTGTAAAGAAGAAATTTGGACCCAGATACATATTTCTGTTAAAAACCCCTAAACAAATAAACAAACCACAATTAGTCGTTTTTCCAGCAAGGAGAACCAACCCATCTGACCACAGGAAGCTTCTTTAGTAATTAATTCAGCTGTGAGCTGGATTAATTTGTATTTCAAAACCAAATGTTCTTGGCTATACATGGGACTCTTCAGACACTCACTAGCCATATTAATCTTAATAGGAAAAACAAACCAGTCTATTAGGAATTGACCAGTCAAAACCACAACAGAAGTAATATTGTCAACTTTGTGCTTCTGTTGAACTCATCGCAAAATGTTCTGCCAACACAGGAGCATATCCTGTTTCTGTCTCAGAGACTGTAAGACAAGACTTTAAGCATGCTAGGCTAGATTTCTCACTAAGATAAAGCTTTCTTTACTCACATTTTAAAAGAGGTCTCAGCAATTTAACTGAAAATTCGTGTAGTTCACCTATGGTTCCAGAGTTACTTATGACATCTGCCTAATGCAATGCACATTGAACTACACATAACATCTCTGTGTTCTTCAGCTCTTAAGAAATTAATCACAGACTCACTCTGACCATGTGAAACAAACCATGTACAGAGGAAGACACACAGGAAAAAAGTAAAATACCTTTTAAAGACCAGTATAATTTTACATATTTAATACTCATACACCATAATTTTAGCTGTGCTATTTCAAACTTATGACAGCACTTTACTACTTTTTTTTTTTTTTTTTGCCACTTAGGGTTTTGGTTTTGATTAAAGAAAAAAGACGCAGATCTTTTATTTCGCTTGCCTATTAAAAGATATCCATTTCTATGCTGCCCTCACGTGGCAGAGATTTCAAATATGCCTGGTACTTAGTCTCAAACAGGACAACCAAGATTGGGAAATTATCTCTAATATTGCTAATATTAGAACCTACCACAAATTAATGTCTCAGTTTCAGTCTACCGATTATGTACAATAGGCTTCACATTATATGTTTACAATGAGAAAAACATTTAGGAGCCACAACAAAATAGGAGAAAACAAAAGAAGAATGATTATCATTTATCAGCTACAAGAAGTCCTGGAGAAACACTGCATTTTTTCCTTCCATCCTGGCATTTTGTTATTAACCTTAACCTACAAAAAATTCAGTCACAAATGGCTATACGCTGTTTTGGGGCAAAACTCATTGTTCGTGAAATTAACTGGTACCCTCTTGCTTGGCAAGAGGCAAAAACTGGTTAAGTACACAGCAAAATAACCACAGTAACTCAGGATGCAAAAGGAGACACTTGGATAAACAGCTCTGTGTATGTGAACCAGACAGTTCTGTTATTTATTGATTTTTTAAACCTGACAAACCCTCCTCATTTACATATTGCACTTGTCATAAATGAAAACAGTAATCAGTACTGATTCATACATTAGTTTGCAGTATCAGAATATTTTTTATCCTAATTTGCCTCCCCAATGCTTTCCAGCTGCAAGGACCCATCTAAATGAAGTCCAAGGGAAAAACGATTTTTTGAATGTCCATGAAGAAAAGGAGACGCAATGTGCAGCTCTGTCCCATCCGTGTTGATTTACCTTGCATCATCCAGCCTCTTAAAGAAGTTGATTTCTTACTTTCTCATATGTAAATTGGGGAATAAGGTCCTTAATTATCTCAAACTAACTCATGAATAATTGTCTTTACCATGTAACCGTGCTATGGTGCAATGAGATAATTCTCATTAATGCAGGAACACAAACTAAATTTGTATTTAAAATATGACTTCATATAAAATACTTAAGTAGGTACTAAATTAAGGCAAAAATACAGGTAGACTGAAGGGGAAGGGAGGGGAAAAAAGGTCTTTACCTTATGACAGTCACCACCAGGGATAATTTCTTGGATATATACCAAAGGCCCTTCATTTCTGTTAATTCCTCCTACAATATTCAAACCCAGGCTTGTTCCTTTGCACACAGAGATAATCTGAAATGCACTATCCCTACAAAGAGAAAGGAAAAAAGAAAAGTAGAATTACCTCACAGAACTAGATACTCCATAAGGGCTGCAGTGATACCGTATCTTTACCTTACAGATTTCACAAATAGATATTACAGCAACAAACAGAAACAGTGGACATTTAATCTCAATGTTCAGACATTACACTGCCTACCTACTACAAAATCAACAACTTCAGTTGTTCCTTCTGGCAATTACAGAAAGAATTGATATTATTTTATAAGAATAAAAGCTCCTCTCTACTATATACTTATGGGAGTACCTAGGTACCCATAAACCAGAAGCATTAATTTGTTAGGAGACACTAAGATCAAAAGTCAATCTGATTAATCTACTTCTACCTGTAAGCAATAAATAAATGAAAAAAATACCTTACTAAAAATTAAAGTTTGCCATGTCAATGGTACTGTAACTTACAAAATTAAAAAAAAAAAAAAAAAGTTGAACACTTAGTGCTCAACCCAAAATTTGCCTGAGCAGCCAAATACACCATTTTCTACAGCTCACACCAGAGGAGTTACAGTCAGTTTTGGAAAATTACTTTGCAAGTTTTGGGGATGGTGCTGGGACAGAATTATTTCCGCTGATGGTTGTGATATTATCCTTCGGATGCAGCTGCGGACTCTGTGACCTTGAGGATGAGCCCGAAGAAGAGCTGTCTATAGATTTTGCTTGAAGAAAAGAAACAAGGAAGAAAAGAAATAAAACACACGTTTGGGAAAAAGCACAAAGTTTCAACTCATGTAAGTAAGTTCAGGGGGACTATTGTCATGTTAGAAAACAGATGAACTATAGTAATCAAGTAACCCAAAGAAAGCTTAAGTCTATGCAGTGAAGAACTGTGAGCCACCCAGGGTTCCAGGAATGAACAATTCTTTAAAACATAGCAAGTGATTTTTTTTTCAAACTGGGTGCAAAAATAATCTCAACTGAAAAATCGCTCATGTTACATAAAGTCATGCTAATTAGGCAACAATTCTGCAAGGATTAGAATTTATGGTATTCTAGTTCAATTTTTTTATTAGTACTTTGAAATCTTATGACACATTTAATCTAGAAATACCAAATTCCTTTCACATTATTCATCAATTAAAATTGCTGAAAGTAGGTGGTAGTATATTTATTTTAAGAGTGAGGGAAACTGATGCACAAACCAAGCAGGTTACATGGTTAGGCTACAAACTAAATGTTAAAATCTAAGCAAACCTGTGTGTTTTGCCTGACTTCCAGGCACTCCTTCCAATATACCCTTGTCCCAAATGAGAAGAGTTTTAAATGCAAACTGCTGTCCTACAGGATTGTCAGGCTAGAAAGCAACCTCTCACCAGCTAGCAGTTGTGTTGGAGAACTTCTTGCAGAGTTGGTGTCACTGTGAGAGCCATACTTATCCATCAGGTCATGAAATTCTTTCCTGCGACAATAAAAAGATTGTCTCCATCAGCATTCAGCATTAGTTTAAAAACTGGCAAAAAAAGCAGCAAAGATGAACATCCCGTACATGCATTAAAAAGAAACCAAAAACTCTTGATTAATCTAATACTGAGTGCAGCCAAACCTAAAAAAAAAAAAAAAAGTTATAATCTGAGCTATGATTACCTTAGTGATAACAGATTAAAAAATACAAATAATCTAGAATGATGTAAGCCAAAACCATCAGCAAATTAATATTACAGAATTAAGAGAAAGAGAACATAAATTAACTGATTGCAGGGAACGTAGTTCCCAAGTAATTCCAGTGACTGCAGAGCGTTGTTGAAATCTGCTGGATACCTTTTTTTTTTTTTAAATGACAAAATTTACTGAACTAATGCCAGACCCAGGGAACACATATAAAGACAGTTGAGTGTAAATCAAATAAACTTTTAGCACGGGAATGTACAGTCACCAGAAATGAACTCACAGGTGACTGAGTGACCGTATGCAGTGGAAAATTCTGCACAGGCCATTGGGCATACCACCAGAACAGCCAAAGGACTGATGGATTTTAATTATTCAGGGAGTTGAGAGGAACTAGGTCAGTATGCTTTAGATAAAGGCGATTAAGAGTGGATCTCACATATATCTAGGCAGTCTGGAAAAAAAAGGAGAGATCAGAGGCTACGGAGTGATTTAAATGTCTGTCAAATACAAAAAATAAAGGGTCAGAAAAAGGTTAAATCGGATGAAAGGCTAAAGAAATTTCGAGAACATTCCTTTATGGAGAGATTCCTCTAAGTGGAACATCCCAGGAAAGGCAAATAGCAGCAGATACTCTTGCAATGATTATCAAATATCGTTATGTAACAGCCATCTCCTCCAGAGATTTAAGTCAAAAGGGGATACAGACCTGGATCACCGCATTTCTGATGATTCTCTGCCAATATTGGTTTATATGCTTAACTTTAGACAGAAAGGTTAAAGCAATGTTGAACATAAATGTCCTCATAAGGGACATATTTTGGACTATCTGCTGCAGCGAACAGTTTAACCTACTTATCCAAACTAATTCAAAGCTCATTAAAGATTGAAAAGCAAACCTCTGAGAGGGAACAATAAATCTGCCTTTTTTTCCAGAAGGCAAGACCAGCTGAAATCATACAGTTCTGTGGTACTGTCGATCTAACATATTCCTCATTGGTTTTTATTATTTTAAAATGTGAGAAGTGTTTAAAAAAAATCACAGCAAATAGTTTTTAATGGTCTTAGCTGGTAAAATAACATTTCAATCCCCTTCATTAAACTGAAATTGTCCTGAGCTTGCTACTTTAATTGATGCAAAGAGTCTCAGAATGAATTGGTATCAAATGCTACACAGAAAATGTGACATGTGGTGTAATTCTGTGATTAAAACTAATCTGAAAGAAAAATACACACAAGCCTACCCACCCAACCTTGGATATAGTATTGGCTTTTTATTAGTTTTGAGGTTAAAACTATGTTTTATTTTTCTCTTACTTTGCTTCTTCATCTCTGGCGACCAGCAGAGACATGTGATTAGATGCTGACGCTGTTCGCAAGATGTCAACTGCCCTAGAAGGGGGGAAAACAGCCAAATAAATACACCAAGGTGCTGTCAAGAAGTACGCAGTGAGTCATGCTAAAAGAGCAGGAAAATCAACAAATTCTTAACATAGTTAATAATCAGCTTGTATTGAACAAACAGATAGAAGAATATTTTAACAGCTTAATATGTTTTAATGCTATTTTCACATACATTCAATAATCTATGTCATGAGGAAACTACCTTATTCTGTCACTATAAAAGCATATAAAGTCCTGTCACTTTTCCACAATAGTTGCGCTCAATTAGAGTTATAGGACAAATTACTTGCCGGTCAAACTCCAAGGATCTCAGATTTGTGCTCCTTTAATCATCGATACTGTCCAAAAGTTAGCATGTAATATTCCAAGCTCTAATAAACATTCAGTAATCAGTACAAACGTACCTTTCATTGGTTACTCCAATTAAGTTTTCTCCATTGACATCCAAAATTAGGTCACCAGTGAGCAAACGGCCTTGCAATGAAATCAAGAGTAATGCATGAATCAACAGGAAAATAGTGAATGTATAGCATCACAGTAATAAACCAGGGCTTTTTCTTTGAATTTTATGTGATCTAATGCCATAAACAACCTTATGACTTTTAGCAGGCTAGGTTCTGATCCTAATTAAGCTAGGCTACTGTAATAAGACTAATAACTATCAATCAGTCTAACTAACCACAGAACAGCCACTGAAAATAAGTGTTATTTAGCTATTTGTATTACTTACACATAGCACAAATATTTGTGGGACTGGAATTTATATTTCACATTTATGGATTAACTTTCAGCTGGATTTTGCTTTTAACATACATGTAAGTTACCACATAGAAATACCTTGTAATCTAACTGTAAAACTGTAATGTTTTATACACTAAGAAAGACATCTAGAGGATTTTTTAGAATCAATTCTATTTTTAACCTTCTGCAAATCTCAAGTGTAGGAACTCTCTCTTTTGAAGTAGATCTAGATTATTTTAAATGATCATTCTGCACAAGCCCAGAGAGAACCTCAAAAAACCCCATGTACAGACCTAGGACAGAAGTATATTCTGAAACTTAATTATTGCAAACTCTACCTAGTCTAATTTGTTCTTTCCACACTGAACACCTAAACCACCATTTCAAAAGAAATCGGAACTCGTTAAAGATATTGGTTCTGCAAAGGAAACACCACTCTTATTCCTTACAAATTAAAAGAGGTTCAGCACCTCAGCACTTATTTAGCAGTGGTGAGACTGTCAGTTGCTTTCCCACATCTAGATTTGAACACATTCTCAAAAGTCATTAAATCCCTCATTACAGAAATGTTATGTAGAGCTGTGTTAATATAGAAGAAATTACAGTGACCATAACACCGAGAGTATTAAAACCTTTTCCTATGAAGGGTCCAAGTTTCATTTCTCTATCTTGAAGTAAGCCACAACATCATGAACCCTGACCAAACCATGCTATTTAAATATCCTTACCACAAAGTCAAATAAAGATGACTTCTTTTGACAGATTTTTATATGCAGCATGTTTGCAACAAAAAAATTAAAATTACTTACTATCTACAGCAGCAACTCCTCCAGGTAGAATTCTCTTTATGAAAATCCCATAATCTTCTGCTGTTTGTGCCCGATAACCACCAATAATTTTAACTCCTGCAGAACAACCAAAAGAAATAAACAAGAAATTGGTTATTCCACCTACTGTGCTAAATGGATTTACAGTCAACTCCACAAAAGCCAGATAAATTAAACTTCTACTGATGACAGTGTGAAATGGAAAAGCTCACCAGGTGTTTTCAGGTTGGGTTTACTCTGAATCAACAGAACGTGCAATCTAATTACCTAATCCATTCTGACAATCAGAAAAAGAAAGGCGGTGAACAGCTCGATTGATTCCATGAGGGCCCATAATAGTCCTAAGGAATAAAACAAAACTCATTAAATCCCTCATTACAGAAATGTCGTATACAGCTATGTTAATACAGAAGAAATTACAGTGACCACGTTTTTAACTCTAATACAAACCAAAACCAGTTTTCTCCACTGACAACTTTAAATCGTTTGATAACTTTGTGCCACCCCTTCCCCACAATGAAAAATCAATCTCCTCACAACAAATATAAAAGGGGACAGTACAATAAAGCATATTTTGTGACGTATACAATTCAGCATTTCAGGCTGAATTGTCAATCTCACTTTATTTTTGATAAAAGGATTATTACTAAATAGAAACAGAATCCCACAACCTGGTCCAGCTTAGCATTTAGGCAAGAAAAACACATCGTAACGTCTTAGATTGGGTAATGAATATTAAAACAAAACCACAGCTAAGGCAGTGTATACCAAAATATTTTCTAGGATATATAACATATAATTTTAGTGGTTTACAAACATAATCATTTTGTTCCAGTCTCTCATTTCTTCACTCAACATTGTTTTCTTTCTCTGTTTTAAAAAGGTTTCTCTCCAAACTCTACCGCCTGCTCCCCTGTGTACCTTCCCACCCCAATACAAAATACCAGGATGGCACTTGAAATTGTCTAAAGGCAGATGAATATTTTGGAGGCAGTTGATAGGGGTAAAGAATTAAGAATACAAAGCAAAATTAGTCTTGAAACCTAGATCTACAGTTCCTTCAGAAACATGCCCAGCACACAGCTCTGAGAACGCAAAGTGTTAGGAATTCCTATAAATCCAGATTATCTACACTTCACCATTTTTTATAAGAAGAATTATTACAAAAACCCCAAGTTGTATCATAGATCCTTTGTCTTCCCACTGTACCATTTTTGGAGAAGACTCACCAGATCCCTTCAGCAGAAACACCACTTTTCTGCTTTGACCTACATATTGTTCTCTATTAGAGAGTGAGTTGCATTTTCTAGAGCATGATGTTAAAGTGAAATGGAACAACTACAATGCATTAGCAGGGGCGAAAAGAAGATCAAAGTGGAGGACACAGTGACCCAAATCCTCCCACGCAACCAAATCCAGCACACAGCTTGAACTCCATGCCTGAAACCGGGGATTTCTGCAACAGCCGGAGCACATGTCATTGAAAGTTGCCATGCCAAAGGGAAGGAAGAAACCCAGAAGGTCCAAATGTTCCTGAATTTTAGCACCAGAGAAGAGATACAACTCCTGAAGAACATCCCTAGTTCTTGTGGGTTTTTTATATAAGAAATCTGGATGAGTTTTTTATCGAGGGATAAGCACTTCTTCCAAAAAGCAACAATTTGCTCCACAACCTCCAGTTCCCACGTATTTGCCAAACCAGCCTTTGCTTTAGAGAGGCTGCCCGTAAGAACAGGTCTAAGAACTGATCTGTAAAACCAAACAGGAAGCCAATACTTCAAACATTGCATAACCTGCACTTCAGTATTCCTCGCACTATTTGTTTCATAGACTAAAACAAAATGACAAAACCTAACTAGTGTCTTTGGCCACCGATGAGACTGCACATGACCCTGCCACCAGGGACAGGGCACGTGCTGCAAGGCTAAAGGTGAACCAAACTGCTTTCACTTAGTCACGGTCTGAAAGGAGGAACAAATCCTTAACTCTGCTATTTCTCTATCAACATTTTTGATAAACCGCTTCCATACCCCAACAGCAGGCCATTTTGCGTTATTACCTGGTACTGTCACCTCCATTATCCCATGAATTTAAGCTGTTTTGAAGCTGAAAGACAAAATACTAGTCACGTTCTTTACACGTCTGTCCTGATATGTATCCACCTTTGAAAACTTAAACAACATACACCAATCTTTAAAATAGGCAGACAATTATTCTGGTTTTTTTGTACCTTGCCCTTTGCTGCTACTGTTCTGTTTCTTGCTCTGTCATGCTCTTAGCAGTCTTCACACAGTAATTCTTTATTAAAATAAAAAAAAGCAAGAACAAACTGTGTTTCAGCCTTGCGCAGAAGTTACTTTCATGGTCTTAAAAGATCAAATCTCAGATTTTAAGTCTAACTTTTTCCAAAGGAAACCAGTGTTCACCAAAACCGGTAGAACCTATACTACTGTCTAAAATGATAATGAAATACAACCAAATCGAGGCACAGAACACTTAAAAAGAACAAACCTACATTTGCAGAATGTAACAGACCATACTTTCGAAAGAACCTAACTAACGTAAAACGGATTCTGACAAAGAAGACACAGAGAATACACAAACTAATAATTCACAATGGAGAGGAGTATTTCTAGTAAAATTATCACAATGTTGCCACGAACAATTAGAGAGGACTGACACTCTGAGCAGACACCTTGACAAGGCATTTCACTGTTTATGCTCCAAAGACTAAAACCATCCAACACATGATATTTAAAATTACTTTATCATGTAGAAGGTGAAGACAAGGATCTTCAAATGCCCCAAATTCATTTAGCATGTCACATCTTGTTGACTCTCGATGTTAGTTTTTCTCGCATATAACCGAGAGATGGATCTTCACGTCAGGCCACTTGTCATAGTTCTACTAAAACACATCGGGCTTTAACGGTTTCACTATCTAAAGGCTTGGCTTTAGCACCCATCTGAAATTAATTTCACTTTCTCATTATTTAATATTCATGAGAGGTTAGAATACTTCCCAAAAACCATTAGAAATGTGCTCAACAATATAAATAAAGAAATAGGTATCTAAACCAACTGGCAGAAGTAAAATAATTTCAATGTTCTTTGTAGAAAAAATGCAAATTAAATAAACGGATATCACTGTTCATTCCTTGAGAAATCACGCAAAACTACTGGTAAGCAAGCTTTCAGCACAAAGAGGAGAAAAGATGTATGGCAACAGATGAAATAAAGAAACAAGACTGTACAAAATGTACACTGTAAGTTTGTTACCCTGGAATTACTGAAAAAATATTAAACTCAACACTCCAACTGAAGTCCTGGAATGCTAATAGACTAAGTGCACAAAATTTTGTGCAGATGTTCATTAAAATGAAATCTTTGATACTTTATTATTTTTTTCCAGCATACACAAGGAAGCTCAACAGCTTTATGTTTCGTATCTGCTAAAGACTTATCAGAACATATGGCTCTGGATATTCTCTGCACTGCATTCCGGAGAAATTATTAGTTATTTATGTCCACAAACACAATATTTACCTAGATTTATCAATGGAAGCATAACATCCTTCCTTCACAAAACAGATATTACTTGACACTTAAACTAAAATCTAAATGATAAACTCTGGCTGCTTATGAAGAAAAACAAGAAGCTGAAAATGGCTACAGCTTTTAAATGACCTTTACTGTACTTTTCCCAACTACAGACTAGAAAAATGCCATCGGAACCTAATGGTTAAGCATACCAGTATAAGAGAGAAAGACCGTCAAAACGCTCTGGTTCATCTTCATCTCCTGGCGAGAGCAAGGACATTCTTCAGCACAGCAGCAAGGACAGTGACCAAGCAACAAAAATACACCAGCAGCTTCCAGTTCAGCCAGATAAAGGTTACGTGCAGGACAATTTCTGCCACCAACTATAAAAAAAACCAAACAGACAGAGCCCGAGACGAGTGTCTCTGCCTACTTAATCTTTTCTGAAACCCTCTGCGTCACATGGACTAATTCACCTCCCGAGGTAATGTTTACTTTTGCTGTTTGAGGTGGCAATTTAGAGCAGATTTGAAGACTGATAAATGCAAAGGAGAGAAAAATTACTTGCATTTACTACAACTGTGATCATACACTCTATATATAGCAGCAGAAACCAAATGAAATAATTACAATGAAATAAGCTTATTTACTCATGTTCTTCCAACGTTTTATTTGCATGTTCCCTCCACACAAGGTCAAAAGCAATAACTCATGACCTTTCTAAAGCAATCTTCCTAGCAGATTGGATTATGTACATCCACACACAAAAGGGAAAGCCAACAAAGCAGACAGCCTGAAAGCATTAATGAAACGAATGCCATTACGCTATTACTTTGCATTCTCATTAACTTGTGTCATGCTTTACCTTGGTTTTTAGTCTTTCAACAGTCAAAAGTTAATGCAGAACTTGGGCTACATATTTTCTGTAGAAATGGAAGTTGACACATCTGTTTCTTTGTGAAAGCAAATAAAAATGGTGAATTTGTATCACTATACTGGGAATAATACAGTTGAAACAGTAAAAAATATACATTTCCAGAGGTAAGACTCTCTTCTGATGCAAGGCTTGGTCTTGCAGAGCTAAGTGCGTTTTCAGAAGTTCTGAGCACCTGGCATCAGTTTGGTTAACCACTATTATCTTCCAGGCTTGCATCAGAAGGCGCACTCCTTCCTGTTAGTCCCCTCTTTCTAAAAGATCTTAAAAAGATTACAGCTTAAAATGAAAACTAAATATTCTGCATTCACCAAGGGCTTTGTTTAAGTAGACAGGTGAATCCTCTCTAAAGCAGGGAGTAACCCTGTGATGAGACAGCATCTGTCAGCGTCTAGAGCTGCCCAGCAGGACAGCTTGGCTATGCCAGGAATGCATAAGCTTCTCTCATGCACCTTTTTTTTTTTTTTTTTTTAAAGTTGTAGTGACTGTGGTTTCATTGGCAGGGAATTGCTCTGGGGAAAGGATCCTTTTACCCCCAGGCAGCATGCTATGTAGTGTTCACATACACCCAGGTCAGTCCCTAGTCCCTGCAGAGGGGTGAAGTGATCCACCACACCTTACGGAGCAGACCAGTGGGACCATAAAGCAGCCTTCCCAGTTCCCAAAATGTGAAGAGCTCCACTGGCACCATTTGGATTGCTCACACCCATTCAGTGATGAGTATTTGGCCCTTTGTAGGCTTTTCTCAGCAGTTTAACTCTGCTGGTGTTACTGGTGTTGCAGTCTGATGAAGGAGAAGCCATTGATATTTCAGGCATCAATCATATCAATTAGATTTGCTCCAGGTAAGGTTACAGAAGATAAAATACCATTAGCCCTTCTCCAACAAAATTGTCACTGTTCTTAACACCAACGGAATTCAATTTGTATCAGCATCAAGAACATTTGTCAAAACAAATCACAGACCAAGGTGGCTTGTTTCCAGTGTCACGTTTTCTGCATTAGAAACCCCCCCCCCCCGCCCCCGGCAATCAGAAGAATGACGCAAGGCTATGCATTTCCCATATTAAAAAACAAAAAATTATTTTTATTAAACCAGACACGACAAACTTCCCAACAATTTAGGCAGATATAAAGTAGTATTAAGCTTATTGCTCCCACCTCTATTTATTAATTATCAGTAATAATCACTTGTTCAAACAATTGCTCCTCCATCCCTTCTTCAAAGTAAACTAGGCGTTGTTCAGCTTCCTGAACTCATTCATCCCCAAGGTTTCCATCCCTTCTTACCTTAAATTCTGCTGCTGTGTTGCTTTTAATGTTTCTAAAGGACCCATATAGAAAAATGGTATTATTGCTTCTTTTGCAAGTTCTCTGACTTTCAAGAACATAGGGGAACACAAACTACTTTTTACTCCAGAAAGATCTAGGAATACTCTAACAACTTAAAACCCCATAAAACCTAGTATCAATAATTTTCAAGAGACATCATTTGTTATTTTATTCAGCAAACAAACCAAGATTCGTTTTCAAACAGCTAGTAAACTATTCTATTCTGGCAACATTATTAATTATGACTCACCTTTCCCAAAGGAAGTTTTGCAATGCTTTAGGAACTCAGATAGATTATTACAGGATCATTTAAAAAAAATGGAAAAAAGATTTGCAGAATCTTCAGAAGCAGGATTTGCAAGATCTTTCTGTTTATTTGTAACAAAGGTCTTTTAAAAAATCCTATACAAGTCAGTCATGCAACTGTAGCCTGTTCACTAACCCTAAAAGGTAAAAATTTATTATGACCCTAAAGACCACAGCTGAGAAAATGCTGTATCACATGGCATGAACAAACACTTACTTCTGATCTATCCAAACCCCCTAATTATTCAAAATACATTTTGCTGGTTAAGTCGTAAAGATTAAAAGAAAACATATGCCATCATACGGTTTCTGTTCAACATGCAAAAGAAGCTTGAGCAATGTTGTAATTGTGAAGAAGCACGAATGGTTTGAGGCTAACCCTTTGTGTAGAGAAGAAAGGTATTATTTAAACTTTAGGTAAACCTCAATTAACATGTAATCAAGTACATTCTTGAAGCATTGTGCATTGATACTGTCTCCCAGAAAATAAATAAGTATAGAAAATGATAGTCTTACATCATGATGCAGCTGAAGTGCAGCTATCTGCACCTTTCATGTTAATTTATGTGAAAAATTGCCTTTGCAATACAGTGATCTAGTAACTCTTCATGTAATATACCTTCCACATGAATCTAGCAAGCCATAGCTGTTCTAAAGGTGTTATCTTTGTGTTACACACCCTGTGGTTCCATCAGACAAGCAGAGTATTTGCTTCTTCAGATCCCAGTAAAAGCAAGTTAATTTTTTTTAACGTCTTGTGGATTTTTTTTTCAAAAAAATCAAGTTATATATGAAGTGGTATAATTCAAAATCTATGCTATATTGTTTGACAATACTTTTGAATGCTATTTGCTCGATTCTATTGCATAAGCACAGCAAACGTGATAGTCCAGGAAGAGCTGGCTGTGCCTGCTTTTAATTAGGGTTTTGATGACAGCGTTGGCATGGTTATTTAGTTTGGGAAGGGTCTGGAGTTATGATTTTCAATCACGACTGAATCCAGGTTTGCTATTTAGAACCTGATCCAACGTCTAAGTCGATAACATTATGGTTTATAGAATTAATATAATTATTATTATATATCCCATAGCATTGGCAAAAAAAAGACTGTTCCAGAGCACGCTCTACATATAAAACACTAAAGGCATACAGACACAGTATTCTGAAAAAGTAATAATGCATTGTAATACATGAACTCCATCCAGTGTCTTATGCTGCTGTCATTACCCTGTATGTACAAGGAAGTAATTTGCTATATATAAGTACATTTTCAAAGCTGCAGAAGCATTAAGGAATTTCTATGTGGGGTTTTATGTCTACAGAACCAGTCCAAACCAAGTGCTGATTAACTTAATGAAAACCTTAAGAGCTATTTCCTCCCTTTATGTGTAAATTCACTGGTGTTGGTATTAGCTTTTCTAAGGTGTTGCTTCAGACTGTTTCAATATAAAAGTTATTTTTCTTTAAGACTTCATCAAAACAAGATTCTACTAAGGAATTTGTGACAATTTTCACATTACAATCCAGTAATTGTTGTATTCCTATGTGTGGGGAAAAAAATTACTTACTTTTTATTTGTATTTGTTAGGGGATCTGTACTGGACATCTTCTTAGGTACACTATTTTAATAAAAGTTCAAAATGAAGAACTCTGACACATGAAGCACTGGCTTGTAACCACAATAACAACTGCTGTAAAGAAAAAAAAAAAAAAGGAGAAACCACTTTTTGAAATTTACACGGCTTTGTTTATTTCCAGACACTGACAACAATTCTTATTTATTACTGACTAGCTGAAATCAAGTGGGAAAAGAGAACTTTCATGATAAAAGACACACTTCATTGCTGAAAAGGAAAACAGTAAGCAGTTAACAACTCAGACTTGCACCAAAGTATCCGACATCCTAATTTCCTCTTAATTTATGAGTTAGGAATTAGGGTAAACCTGACGCCCCCATAATTAAAATCTTCTAAAAAATTAAGTAACTGAGATTACAATTCCAGGACAAAGTAACAACTGCTAAAGACAAAAACAATCTCATTTTTTTCCAGCAAAGGTTACTTGGGGAGAGAATGTTGTTTTAAACATAAGGTGTTTTGTGTTATACAACTAACATGCAGGCTATATATTTCTGCATGAAAAAAAAAATGTTAAATTAACTTTGGAATACCACATTTTCCTGCAGTAAATGTTTTTGGATGTCTTGCTAAAGGATCAAAAGCAATGCCATCTAAATACGGAGGAAACATCACAATACCGCTCCAGGCTTTATCATTATTCAACACACCCAAATGGAAAATAAAACAGCATCAGGAGCTGCCACAGTCACCGCCTGATGGCGTTACTGGAGCCAGCAGCAGGGCAGAGCAGTGCTCTAGAGCGGTAAGTTCAGGCATTGCTACAGCAAAGTTTGTCCCAATGCAGGGGACCAGCCCCCTGAGGAACGGCGGCATTTGTCCCCAAGTTATCGCTGTTGACAAACAACGCCCGGCCACCCCGAGGAACGGCAATATTTGTGCCGAAATAAAACAAAAAACAGCGCACAGAGACCGGAAACAAAGTTTCATTGACAAAAAACCGAAACAAAGCCCCACTGGAAAAACTAACGATCGGTGTCAGCGTCCGCAGGGAGCGAGACA